CTACAGGCCTCAGATGTCATTTGATGACTTAGTTCCTAGCTTTTGGGTTGGTGGACAAGTCATAAAGATGTTAGGGAAGATGATGAGATGGGTGATGAAAGGCTGTTAAGGAACCTAAAGATGTCTGGGGCCAAGGAGAATGTGTGGAGCCTGAACCCCAGCTCTTGCACCCCATTCAACGGAAGCTAGCCAGGAAACTTCATGAGGTAGCCGGGTTTCAAAAGATTCCTGCTGAGTGTTTGAATTTATAAGTAATGTATATCCAAAACATGACATTAAAATATTACTTTATGTTTCAGAGAAGAGAGCAGGACTTTGCTGTTTGCATTAATAAGCAAGCATCCTTCCCTCCTCCGACCAATAGAAAGCCTAACTCTCCCTTCTCCGACATGCTACTCAGCACTAACGTGATGTCCCCTCTCCCAGTGTCCAACATTCTCATAGTAGACACTTCACAAGTGACTGGACATGTTGGCAGAAGTAGGGGTGCGGAGCAGTGGGTAACCAGATGCGGCCTGGGAAATCTGGCCTCTACCTGACAGCTGCCTCTGGAGCTCTCCTTGCCCAGCTCTGCCACCCGTGGGTGATGGTTGCGGCTGTCTGCTTACCCAGGCCTCTGGGATCGGGATAATGATCCTGGGACACCTGAGTACCTGGGGGCTCCTTGCATCACTGGGGACAGACTGAGTGACTCAGCAGCTCCTTTGTTGGCCATGGTGAAGGGCCACTGTTAACAGGCAGTTGTAATAGTGTAGGGGTGCTGGGTGGAGCTGGCTGTCAGGGTGGGCTTCCCTGCAGAGTCAGGCTTGGGTATGGAGCAAAGGCTTCCATTTTTTAGGGCCTAACTCTTTGATCTGTTAGGAATTGATTCTGATAAAGATTTAAAAAGAAAAAGATCGGTTAGCTTTTGGCTAGGCAGTTGAAACTAGATAGATAGGAACTCATTTTTTTTTTCTGTTGGTGTAAAATGTTACCTCTATTCTATGCTAAATTCTCTTATAACTTAAAATTTTAAATCCACATAATTTTACTAAATTTTGATTCTAATGTGTTCTTTTTTTGTTCTTCAAAACAAAAACAAGTCAAAGGCAAAAATCAAAAACAAAAGAAAACCTGGTGAAAAACAACTGTTCCACTTGGCAACGATATCAGTTTTACTATAAAGTGTTTTATAGATAGAAATGCAAAGACTAGTAGCTCAAACACAAAACAGGAGCATATGCAATAAAACAGTAGAAAAATTCACAGAAGCGCTCTAAGGGAACTGAATATATTATTTCAAAGATATTAAATAAGAGCAATTTAAGTTAAATCACCATTCTTTCTCTTTGAGATCGACAGAAGTGAAAAGTTGAGCTGTGTGAATGCAGGCAGCAAATAGGAACGAGCACTGTATGTCATCATAGGGTGTCCGCTTTGTCTTTTAAACACAAGGCCTACAAAGAAGATAACTTGACAACAACTACCAGAATTTTACGTCTGTGTACTCTCTGATAAGCAATCTCATTTCAAGATTCAACAAATGGACAAAAAAAAAAAATCTAGGACATATGACATTTATGCAGAAGATCCAAAACAACCTAAATGGACTGTAGTGGTGGATTTATTATTAAGGCTTAGTTCATCTCTGTAACAGATGAGCATCTTTTCAGTATAGGAAGCATACAAGGCATGGGGCAAAATGCAACATGAAACCCTTTTGAGATACACACACACACACACACACACACACACACACACACACACACCAAGAATGGAAGAAAGATGGATAAATGGACGGATGGATGCATGGATAGATGATCAGATGCATAGATAGATGATAGACAAATAGATGATAGATAGATAGATAGATAGATAGATAGATAGATAGATAGATAGATAGAGGCAAGTAGGAAAACAGACATGGGCACATATGTATAGATCATTTTTGGAAGGATTCATAGAAGCAAGCCTCTAAAAGGAACTGAGAGATTAGTAAGCTAGCTTTCTTTCTTTCTTTCTTTCTTTCTTTCTTTCTTTCTTTCTTTCTTTCTTTCTT